ATCATCTGATCTCAAATTTCCTTGTATTTACACAAGAAGAGAAACTTCAAAAGTCAAATTTCTCAACAAAATATGACCTCATGGTGTAACGCTTTTGACTCGTAGTAAAAAGGGGAAGGAAAACAAAGGGAATGAAACACTGATGTTGTTGGGTTCTTTGCTTTAAGAAGAAAAGCAAAGAAAAGGGGACAAAAAAGCTCAAAAAAGTGCAGATAAAAATATATTTATCTGAAGATACTCGAAGAATATTTGTACTTGTAGATAGAATTACATGAGAATCTATCTAGCTCAGAAGTTGTTGCTGCACTGAAAGGAAACTTACCTTTAAAGCTGTTACACAGAGACAACCACTAAAAAAAAAGTGTGATAGTGGAGAACAGAAATGGGACTTTGATGAGATTTGGAACCCAAATCATGCTTCCCAAGATAAAAAGAAAGCACTACACTACTGTAGCAGCACAAGAACTTGATTCACTGGATAATAACCCACCAGGATTTTCAACAGCTAGAACTAAATTATAGTATTAAAAGCTAGTAAATTAGTACTGGTAGTAATTTTTACTAGGAGGGTTTTGATTTGAACAAAATATTGAACTAGCATTAAGCAAAGAAACAGAACCATTTGTATGGACAGTAGAGTGGAGAGAGAAGCTTACAGTGTTACTAAGAGAACCATTGTAACTGTAGGCAGCTTTTGAAGACTCATACTCCAAACCCAACTGATGAAAGCTTTGCTTCTGCATCTGAACTGGCACAACACTATCACCTCCATAGTTCTTGTGTGGCACAGGCACACCATAATGTTGCTGCTGCTGCTCTTGCTGCTGGTTATGCTGATGATGATCAGTGAACTGGTTCTGATCACCACATGATGAGTTGTACTCCACAAGATCCAAATACTCATCAACCTCCACTCCAAAGAAGAACCCATTACTCTGATTATTGTTATTGTTACAGTTGTTGTTATTGTTTTTCACAGGATTGAGCAACAACCATGATGCTGCCTCATCCTCATCTTCCTCATCAATGGTTTCATCTCCTTCCTGGCTCAAGAACCCATCTTCTGTCTCCGCTGCAGCGGACCCCACCACTATCCCGCCTGAGTCGGTTGCCTGTGGTCCGTACAGGCAACCGGAGATGGGCAGAATTGGGACACGTTGGTGGCGCCTCGCCAACGGATTGGCAGAGTGGATGTCTGCGTCACAGGCAGTGCAGAGCGAGGCCGCATCGGCTTTGCATAAGAAAGCCGCCGGGGCCTGCTCACACGCCTCGCAGACCCACACGCGCTCGTGGCGCGACGCCACGCGGTTGGCAGCGTGGATAGTGGCGTCGCAGCCAGAGCACAGGTACGCAGAGTCTGCACGGCAGTACACTGTGCAAGCTGCGGACCGGCACGTGTCGCAAACACGTGCCCACTTGTTGTTGGCAGCAGCGCCATTGCTCTCTTCCTTCAACATCTCTCTCGGTTTCTCAGACTCTTTTAAGTTTTTGAGTAATAATTGAGTTGAGGAGTGTGGAAGGAGATGTTAGTTGGGGGGGTCTAACTGTAGGCAGAGAGCCAAATGCCCAGTGGGGCGGGAAAGAATCCAGGAAGCGACGCGTGGCCAACAACAAGTGGCGGAGAAAAGTTGTTACGTTATCTTTTGGTTGGCTATGCATTGTGGAGTGTGGGGCCCTCGTGGCTGAGTCAGAGGTTCCTGTGGGGCCCAAGGGCATGCTGATAGGCTTTTGGCCCATCTGGACCCACCATGAGTAGCTAAGATTCGGGGATACACGTGGCAAAAATAATAAAAGACGTGGTGGAGAAAGCTTTATGGGTTTTGCCTTTGCTACTGTTGGATCGAACATAACTACTACCAAAGACAAGACCCCTTCCTTCCCTCCTTCCCTCCTTCCTGCCTCTATCATGATTCATGCCAAGGAAATAATGCCCGTACGTTTTAGGTTTTGTGTTTGCTGACTGGATAATGTAACACCAAAAGACATCCCCCTTTGAAACCTCTTTCACATTTCACTCCACCATGTACACGTGGCACAATGGAGAAGAAGCAGAGAGAAAACTTACCCTGCCCTCTTGTTCAATTGTGGTTCCAATCCAATGTATATGGGCAAGGCGGGCGATGTCCACCTTTCAGGGCCAGGGATGACAATCGATTTGAATGCTGACATTGGGCGGGCAGTAGAAGAATGAGCTCTCTTCGAGACATATAATTATCGATAAATAAAACAAATCTAAGTAAACGAGGATTATCCGTAGAAGAATCAAGAGATTGAAGTATGAGCAACAATCGAAATATGACTACTCATAATTCATCACTTAACCACGAATTATCAGTCCTAATTAGTTTGGATTGACAATTCCAATTTACTACTCACCACTAACTACAACATTTTTTCTTTACATAACCTCCATAAGGTAAGCACTAAACTACTTCATCATAAAATATTAAATCTTTTATACCAAGAAATATCAGATTTTAGTTTTTTTTTTCTCTCTCTCATCCTAGTGCTCATAAATCTTAATCTTTTTATACATGTTCTTTTGATTATTTGACATGTGATTAACTAAGAATGATATAGACATGCATCTGCAATGCCAATTTGCTTTGTTTGGATGGTCATGAGTAACTGTAGCTGTCATATAACCAATAGTACCTACCCATCATCAATCACAAGGTAGAGACATCAATCACAAGGTAGAGATGAATCCCCTCATGAAAGCTACCAAAAGCAAGTTGAAAGTAAGGTAATTCCATTATAATTTCTCGACCACGAAATAAACGACCAACTAACTTGTAAGAAATTACTAAAGTAGTTGTTAGTCCGCTCATACTTCTTTTCTCAATGTTGGAATATGTGACAAGTTCAATTACTCCGCTGTGCAAAAAACTTTCCAAAAGGGAAGCCATATCATTTGTGTGGTGGCTAATTTGAAAGTCTGGGGTTTGCTAAATTCAACTACTTCACACCAAGTCAATCAGTCACTAAACTGATGGTGGTCGACATAAAGATTAAAAATAGTAAACAAAAAGGGAGCAGCTAAATTGAGAGTCTGCAATTCTGCAGTGAACACGTGTACAACTCAGTTGGATGCTGACTTGTAGATGCTGACTCAGACAGCCTCTGGGGGAAATTCCTGCAGCCAATAGGAAGTTGCCATGCCAGAAACTGGATTAGGATGCACCTCCACCACAAAGTTGTGTATATAGCTTCTGGAGACTGGAACCAAGAAAAAAATTAAATTAAATAAATAAATATTGCATCCATCCCTTTCAGCTGGAGAGACATACATATATTTTGATTTGCCCTGGTCTTTTTCCTTAACCATTCCATAAGTATGTTTCCGTAGTCTTTGTTTGCATTAAAATTGTACATATGAATCTATGATCTGTTCGCCTTCTTGTCTTGATCACCTTTTGTGATCAAAATCAAAACTCAACCAAATTAAGAAACTTCCGGCCATTTGTCTGGAAGATAAAACTTATCCTATGTGACGATTATATCTTTAACGATAAAGTATTTTAAAGAGAAAGCTGATTTCTCATGTTTACATAAATTTTGGGTTACATGGATGTTAAATTGGGAGTTACCCTAATTAAAGAGCATAAAATAATCACTTTAAATCACATGTGCAATCTTTCTTGACAAACAAACGATTTGGGTTGATTGAATTATCAGGTTGGGTTAGTTGAACTATCGGGTTTGGCATTAAGCCCAACAAAAACTATAACTCAAAAGATGCCAGAAGTTATCGATATCGAAGGGACCGCGACGAAAAACATAATAAAGGTAAGATGCTTTGTAGTTCAGTTGAGTAAATTTTTACACGATTTTATAAATATTCTTCTCAGTTGTGGTATAGTTTCTTATTTCAGTTTACACAAAGTTCATTTCAGCAATTTGGGTATGTTGTGCTTTCATGATTTCATGTTTTTTCTTTCTTTGTTTTGTTTGCCCCAGCCCTTTGTGTGGGTGGGTTTACTAGTTCAGGATTTTGAGGAGTTGCAAGGGCTCGAGCCTGTTTGTAGTCTTTGTTGTTGGGCTCTGGCCCCATTTCACCAATACATGTTTTTTTTATGGTTGAAAAATTAGAACGGAATTTTAAGGGTATGTTTGATCTTTTTTCTTTTCTTTTTTCCCAATAAAGGTTTTTGTAATAGGTTCATGAATAGGCTGATTTTCGGACGGATCGGATAGGAATAAGGGAATTCCAATTCCAATCCAAAAAAATTTGGAATGAAAATTCTATTCCAAAAAAATTTAGAATTTCAATATTCATTCCAATTCAGAAAATTCGGAGCTTACATATTTTGGAATTTTTTTAGAAAATTTCGGAAACTAGTTCAAATTTCTAAACATGCCCAACCATTTGGAGTAAAATTGACTCAAAGTTGAAAACTCATACGATAAGCTTGGAAAACTATTATATGCTAGTACTCATATGTTGTTATCCATTATGAAATAACTTGTCTATGCCTATTTGGTCATCAAATTATATTTAGTTCAACATGAAATTAGTAATTGTGTGTAGTCTAAGCTTAAAACCCCAATATATTTCGGAATTCGGAATTTTTCGGAATCTCTAGATGCATTCCAACTCCAATTAAATTTTTATCATAAATTTTAGGATTTCAGATGTTAGAATGATTTGGATTTGCCAAAATCGGAAATTTTCGGAATGGAATTAGATTTTCCAATCCAACTTGCACCCCTATTCATAAATTTTTATTTTAAATACTTACTGCTCTTTGTGAACATTTTCTCTACCCTAAAAAATATTTTTGTCTATTTCAGCCACACACTGTAAATTTTATTTTTATTTTTATGAACTCTAACTTTGAATGTTCATAATCTTAATTTTCAAATTACAAAATGTAACGTTTCGAATTTTGATTGGATGGAAACATAGAATATATTCCACTTCCACTATATAATAGGGCTTTATTGACTTAAGATTCTTTTTATCGAGTAAGAGCATATGTCAGCGTGGAACTTATTTATTTATTTGTTAAGGAATTAATTACTCATTTCTTGTTTTTACACAGATGTATTTGGATTTTAATATTTGATATCAGTTGCAGTAGCATGTTAGCTCATCCATAAAAATGATGACACTCGAACCATAAACAGCCGCCGATCACTCTGTTTTGCCGGTAATCTTCTTCTTCCTATATATACATGATAAACTGTATATACTTGACTTGACTGATATGGAAGACTGAGCATTTTGTGTTGGGATTTGATCACCATGATTTGTTTAGTTGAGTATTTGGAGTTTTCTTCTGTCTTTTTTTCTGGGTTCTGGCTGCCTCAGTAAATTTTACAAATTAATTGTTGCTATCTGTGTGTAGTATTTGCCTTCAAAGCAATGTATGGTATGCAGTTATTTGATGCCAAAATCATGAACTTCTCTAAAACAAATTGAGGATATGAGAAATTGAATGACATGCATATAATGATGTGCAGGTTGGAGAGATATCAACTTCCAACTGCACTTCTAGTTTCAGAGAGCTGCTTGTGAAAGCACTAATTTACAAATCTTCCATCAGAGTTACTTCTCAAGAATCATTCTTCTGCCACTGTGTGAGATGGGAACGCATAAGAATAGAGATAGGATTAGCTATCTGCCTTGGGATGTATTGGACAACATCCTCGTTCGCTTGCCTTTAAAAGAAGTTGTGAGGACTAGTATCTTATCCAGTAACTGGAGACATAAATGGACTGGCATTTCACAGTTTGTTCTTCATGACAAATGCATACCAAAACGGATATCGGACAAGGTGGCAAGATGGGGATCCGTTATGGAAATCATCCGTCAAGTTCAGTTATGTCACGACGGTGCTATAGAGAAGTTTAAGCTTGCTGCTTATTGCCGGCCAGACCATTCTGATTTAGACCAGTGGATTCGTTTTTTAACAAGCAAAGGCCTCAAGGAGTTGATCCTGCAGGAGTTTGACTCTATAAAACGTTTCAACTTGCCATTTTGTCTGTTCTCTAGTCCACTACTGAACCGGTTGGAGCTTTTTGGTTGTAGATTCAAGCCATCTTCTGCAGTCATTGAATTTAGGAGTCTCACAACCCTCCAGCTCAATCAAGCTTGTATAAGTGGTCATATGCTAGAGTGTTTAGTTAGCAATTCCCCTGTTCTTGAAAGATTGATTTTGTTGGATATTGATCATCAAATTGTTCTTCGAATCCGCAACCCGAATCTCAAGTATCTGAAAGTAGATTCCAACTTTGATGATATATTTCTTGAGCACAGTCCATTACTGGCTACTGTTGACATTGGCTTGAGGGTTGGGGTCGCACCCCGATTCTTTGATTCTGGAGCAGGCCAGTTGGTCAGGATTATTGGCTGTCTACATGCTCTTAGGAAACTTACCCTATCCAGTGCCTTCCTGAGGGTAAATTTTCTCATTTTCCGCTGTTGCTTTTCGGCCTCTATTTTTTTTATTTATTAATTTGGCTGGCTTAACAACTTTTTGTATCTTATATGATTGTTGCTTGCAATTGTTTCTACTTCCTAGTTTCTGGGTAATATTACCGTACCAGACAGACTTCCTACTATGCTTCAACATCTGTCAGTTCTTGAACTCAAGGATGTAAGGTTGGATAGTATGACAGAAGTGATGGTTTGCCTCTGTATTTTCAGAAGCGCTCCAAACTTAGAGAAACTGCTCCTTTCAGTAAGTTTCTCTGGACAACTAGCAATTTAATTCAAGCATATTTCATCTGTTCAAGGACTTTGAATTACAAGACTTTGGTTTTTCTCTTTTATTTTTTTGATTTGTGATTTTGTACTTTTTGACTAATAGGTTGCTGGTACAACTGCATATTCCAGACCTAGCGTGGAATTTCTCATCACACAGTCTTTGTCAAATCTCTACTTTGAACAACTTAAAGAAGCATCTATAAGAGCTGTACAAGGCGTTATACCTGAGTTGATATTGATTCAGTTTTTATTGGCTCGATCGCCTGTGCTCGAAAAAATGACTATAGTGCATTATGGAAGTGAAAGGCTACCTGGAGAATCGTTGCAGCAATTTGTGCCAGCTTCAAAAGATGTGAAAATTTTCAACTTATCAATGTGAAAGTAGCTCCTCTTGTTACATTCTAACTTTTCTTTTTGGTTCAACTTATACTGGGCACCTTTCTTTTAGTATAAAACAAGCTCTTCAATAGTTTTGCTTATTAACTTGATTATGTTAGTGCCAGTCTTTGGGGATGGAGCTATGTTCTCATGCTGGGCAGTTCGGCAACATAGCGTGCTTGACTCTTTGTTTAGCAATATAACAAAAACTCTGAATCTAAGAATGTCAGTTTATTGAAGAAGAATCTGTACAATTGGAAAAAAAACATCAAAATTTTTTGAAGCTCTGACACCCTGCTAATATACAACACAAACTCTTAATATCCATGTAACCTAATAGCTTCAACTATAACTTGTTGCTATGATATGCTTTCTTTTAAAGCATAAAATTTTCAAGTAGGAAATCACCTTGGACCAGAGAGTTCCATTGCTTGCACTAATAATGAAGAGTCGTCAGTGAGATCAGAGTATCGGTCTGAGGATGAAAACTCAGGGGCTTTGCTCTTTGTTGATTCAACTCTTTGAGAGGCTTCCCATCTTTCCACAAGTCCATCACCTTCAAGCATCCTTACCACTTCAGACATTTTGGGTCTATGGCCAGGAAGGTACTGAGTGCACAAGAGTGCTACTTGAACCATTTCCTCAAGCTCAATCCGGTCGTAGTTGGTTTTGAGATCCTTGTCCACAAGCATCTCAAGCTTCTTTTCCTGATGAATCTTTTTAACCTGTGATCAGATAAATTGGACTGTCAGTTGGTACTATATGAAATTCAAAACTACCTAGGAGTGGTGTTGTGTGCTTACCCAATCAAGTATGGCTACTTTCTGGTTAGCTGCCTTGCCAAATTCTAGTGCTCTCTGGCCTGTGATTAGTTCAAGTAGAAGGATCCCAAATCCAAAGACATCTGTTTTCTCAGAGGACTGGCCTGTAGAAAGATACTCAGGGGCTATATGCCCCACGGTACCCCTCACAGCTGTGGTGACATGTGAATCTTGGTGATCTAGAAGCTTTGCCAACCCAAAATCTCCCACCACAGCTTCACAGTAGTCATCCAGAAGTATATTTGCAGCCTTCACATCCCTGTGAATTATCTTTGGGTCACACTGCTCGTGAAGGTACAATAATCCTCTTCCAGCTCCCAAGGCAATCCGCTTCCTAGTGCCCCAGTCCAAGACTGGTTTCCCTGTCAGAAGATCAGTGAGATTCGAAATTAGCAACACATAATAGGCACTCTGAATGGTTAATTACTGTTAGTTTTAACTTATGATGTCTTACCTTTGAGACGAGAAGCAACACTGCCATTGGACATGTATGGATAAACTAGAAGTCTTTCTGTTGGCGTGATGCAAAAACCATATAGCCTGAGAAGGTTGCGGTGAACTGCTAGGCTGATCATTTCAACTTCAGTCTGGAATTGAATCTCTCCACCAAGTGCACTACCATCTTTAAGCCTCTTGACTGCTACAAAAGTTCCATCTGGGAGAGTTCCTTTGTACACATGTCCAAAGCCACCCTTTCCTAGTATGTTCTTGCTGCTGAAGTTGTGTGTTGCAATCTGAAGTTCTCTGAAATGGAATCTCTTCAAGTTCCCAAGGGAAATTTCCTCATGATGCCTGTCTGAAATTTGACAAGATAGGGCATTAAGTAGAGGGTTGGTTATTCAATTACTTTCCCAGTACACAAAAATTGTTGTATTAGTATTTCTGTTAACGGTGTTATATATCAACCAGCAAGTACCTTTAACATCAAAAAATGTCTGTTGGTTGCGCCTTTGCCTCCACCATAAAACTACTCCAAATCCAAGAACAATGAGGCAGAGGCACCCAAGGCTCAAACCGAACGCAAGCGCTATTTTGTGACTTCTAGGTCTTCCAGGAAGAGTAGCTTGAGAAGAAAAGAAAAACTAAGGTCAGAATCAAAACCAAATATCACATGAACAATTGAAACTGTTAACTGTGGAAGTTGGAAGTAATTTATGCAAAAAAAATCTCAGCACAAATTCAAAGTCCATACTTTGTGTACTATTCAGGTTCATGGACATTGGCATCAGTGTCGTCCCATTGCAATCTGCTTCAGCCCCCGTTGCACATATCAGAGGATTTCCAATTATGCTGAAACAACAACAACGAGAGGGGTGGAGAGAACTTAGTAAATAAATTCTCTATTATATGAGAGAGAAGAGAGAGAGAGAGAGAGAGAGATTACTTGAACGTTTTGGCAGCAAATCTAGGCACAGGGCCACTCAGGTTATTGTAGGATAAGTCCCTGACTTGCACAAGATCACAGAATAACAAAATCTTACTTCAGAACCACAGTTTAATTAGATACATATACATATAACCGCACTAAGAATGGTTGAGAGATTTACAGAAAGGCAAGCTGGCTCATGTTAGCCAAGGACACCGGAAATGCTCCGGTGAGACTGTTATTGTTAAGCCTCCTAAAACCCAATTGAAACAATCTGTATTAGCTTTACAAACAAATAGAGACAATACTTCAATTCAAGTGCACGGATCACAGATACTTACAAGTATTGAAGGCTTTTCAGGTGGCCAAGAGAGGAGGGAATTTCCCCAGTGAAGAAGTTGTTGGAAATATCAAGTGTGTGAAGCTTTGAGAGCCTCTCAATATCCCGAGGGATTGCTCCGGTTATGTTGTTGTTCTGTAAGAGCCTGAAAAGTAAAGCAGAACACCATACCTTATTAAACACAATGAGAACAAGAAGCACTGAAATTTTTTCCAGTTGTTGGAGAACTTACACAATCTGAAGATTTGTTAAGTTGCCAATACTTGGAGAAAGAGTGCCAGATAAACTTTGGCTAGGTGTTCCTCTGCAAGATAAAGACCATTTTAACTACTTCATAATGCATTCATTATATTTTCTCATTTCCTAGTAATCATGTAGCTCTCAAATGTATTTAAATTTAAAGAACAACAAAAAAAAATTGCAGGAGACTCACAGGCCAATAACCAGGCTTTCAGGAGAGCAAGTGACCATTGTCCAGCTACATGGATCAACAGAGTCGTCATCCCAATTATCTAACACACCATGAGGATCCACCAGAGATTCCTTTATGTCCATTAAAGCTTGCACTGAGATGAAAAACACCCAGATGAGGATTCTGCACTTTCCTACTAATTATAGCTATATAAAAAATGCGCCTTTCTGTTGCAGATACATGAGGGAATGAAAGAAGAAAAATTTGCCAAGTTACCTTCAAAGTTTACACCTTTAGGAGAAAGCAATCCATTTCCATACGTCCAAGACCACAGAAATGCCATGAAACAGAGAGCAGCTTTTGCTCCCCTCATTGTCATTGTATATCAAATATCACAAGTACCAGATAAACCCAGATGCTGAAGGCGGCTTATGGTGGCTGGTAGTGCTACTAGAAAAACAAAACCTCAATTGGGTTTATTTCTTTTTGTTTAAGTTGATCTTCAAATTGCAACCCCAACTCTTCTTGCTCTCTCTCCATGCGAGAATCCCATTCACCGAAAATCTTTGTGTCAGACCCAAGAAAAAAAGCCACTTCTTTTGGTGGTATAAAAAGAAAGAACTAGCATGCCTGTCATTGAGTCATGAGGCTGTGAAGAAAATAATATATAAATAGCTACTCCTAAACTTAAAAGAACAATTTGAACGGCAAGGAGAGAATAGGAAATTCAAGATAGTACATGTATGCCAAGAGGTTCGAATCTGAGACCACTAGTATGTAAGCCTTTAGCGATAATACATTTTATGTTAAGAATAAAGGATGACACACACATACTTGTAGTAAAGTTCAGTGTTTTGTACCAGAAAAAAACAGAAAATGAAATGCAGATTTGTATTTTTACATTTTCTGGTTAGCCAGCCAGCCAGTTTTGAGTCATATATATCATTTACCTAGAGATGGGTGTTGTTACTTATTATTATAAGTGTGTGTTTTTGTATTTTATTGGATTTAAGTTTCTCAAAAGTTGGTCACAAAAATGATCAGTCTGTATTTGTATGTGAAACTGGGAAATGCCTTGCTTGAGACTGTGAGGGAATCCAACATTCCTTGAGCTTGGCCATTCAGTAAAGTTACAAAAACGTCGTCTTCTCTTTCAAGGAAATGAGAATGTGAGAATCTCGAGGGGAACACTGATGGTTGATAATGGATTTGGTCACCCACCACCATGACTGATGACCCATGACCATTAGAGGATCTTTGTTAGAATTTTTGTTTTTGATTTTTTTAATGTACACAGCACACACACAAATAATATTATTTGTTGTATAGCTTAAATATTACTTTTTATGGAGGTTTTTTTAATCATAATTTGGTTTCTTTTGTGCTGGAAATGTTGGATGTGCTTTATAGATTCCACAAACCACTATCAGCTAACAAATCACACATGCTTTCACTCTCTTTGCCCTTCAGCAGACAGTCATTCCCCAAAATTTGTTCAAAAAGAGAAAAACTTTGAAAAGTAAAAGCTGCCATCAAAAACGCTTTTCTCCAGGACACTTCTCTCCCTCTAAATTATTATCACAGCAAATGGTGATACTATTTCAAATTTCAAGCTCTCCAAGAAAGTGTTAATCTTTTGCACCAATCCAAATTATTTTGTAGACAAATCCCGGGAATCAATCACTCTTCCTATGTCATCCATCTCTCACTAGTGCGAGAAAGAACCATGACAAGCCAAAACCATGTATAGTTTAGACACCTAAATGGCTCAACTTCAAGATAAGAAAAATTATTGTCTGCGTCATCTTGCAATATACATGTAACTTTCGGATTTATATGAAAATTTTATGTGCATGTCACGAGAAAGAGGTTATATAACTATAAGTCTATATCACGCAGTGAAAAAGAGACACTTAATTATATATAATAAGCGTTTACATCTAATTTTTTTCGACTAATGAATTGGAGTTTTTATTTTCTAATCCCGGTTATTGGTGTTAAGGACCCCATGTACCAAATAGCTAAACGTATTGTAAGCAACAACAAGAAATGAAATTGACCAAGCAGAAGAAAAGAACAGAGTAAATTAATCATATAGGCAGGGCAGCTAAGGCATTATTGTCCCTTTCTTGACATCACCTCAATCCCCCAAAAAAGGCATACCCA